CTGGCCTCTGAGGCCCACACCATGAGATACTAAAGATCAGGATGGACTGATTTCACTCCAAGTTTTTTGTATTTGTATTTTTGAATTATTTTCCTAATGAAAGTTTGATTCTCATGAAATTCGTAGAGCTGGCAGACGACAGAACAAGGAGCAATGATCTCAAGTTGCAGTGTGGAAGGCTTGGATATTAGGAAAAACTTTTTCACTGGGAGGGTGGGGATGCCTTTGAATCTGCTAGGATAGAGTTCCCCATCTTCTACTTAGAGCCTATATTTTTTCTTACCTTCTACACAGATGATGATTGCTTTCCACAAAATCAACACAGTAATGAAAAAAATCCCGGAGAATCTCCTCCACACCAACCGTCTCTTGGTCCTCACCGAGAGACCGCGAGATGGAGGCTTGCTGCAGCAAGGCTACAGGGGTCTCCGAGGTTCCCCCTGCCCCGCATCCCTGTCCTGCCGGTCTGTTGTCAAGGGAGCTCTGTGGGGTCACACCCGCCTCATCATCTTTGCCCAATAGGCTGAGTTCCTGCCAAAGGCCTTTGTGAAGTCACTGCCACACTCACCTTTCCCTTGCAGGCCTGATGTCTGCCCCTGGCCAGCCCGGATGGATGTTTGAGCTGCACCCTGGATCTCCCCACTTGCTCATTATTGATTCTGGGGAGCAAGCAGGCCACCCAGTAAAACAGCAGAGTCTATTCCTCACCCCACACTGGGTTTTCCATACAGACATAGATTGTGAAACTATTTGATCTCCTAATCCGGCCTCTATTTCACCGGCTATGACATTTCACACGCTTACCACCATATTAAGCCCAATTGCTTGTAATTCACGAAAAGGTGCCATGGCACCTTCCAGAATGATAACCAGTTGTGATGCGAGGATACCAGGAAACAGAGAATCCACCTCTTCCCTGCGTAATTTGTTCCAGGGTTTAGTCTCCCTCACTGCCAAAAATGTGTGCCTTACGTCTCATTTGAATTTCTCTGGCTTCAACTGACAGCCGTTGGTTCCTGTTGTGCCTTTCTTGGCTAGATCGAAGTAGCCCTGCCCCATGAAATCCGATCTCTCCTGGAATCCCCCAAGCCAGGAGAAACCAGCAGGGTCCTCCTAGCTGTTTGTCTGCTGGGCTGGGGATATCAGACGCACCAGAGGCATGCAGAAGAGAGTGCACTGCATCAGCCCTGCGTTGGGCTCAGGGGTTTGGCCTTGGCAACTTCTGCTCCAGTCACATCTCTGGGTGCCTGGGCTCAGGGCTTCTGACCCCCGTGGTTGCAGCCAGGGCTGGGGTGCTGAACTCAGGACTTTCATGCCCCTACCCACTTCTGCTCACACTCTGGGTGCCTGGGCTCGGGGCTTCTGCCCGGCATCTGCAGCTGGGGCTCAGGGCTTCCCTTGCACTTCCTTCTGGGGCTCAGGGGTCCATTTTTAAGGATGCCACCAAATTGGCCCTTGTCTTAATTTGCCAGGGGACTAGTAAGTAGGAGCCCCCAGCTGAGCTGCTCTCAGAAGCAGGGACCCACTCGCACATCTTAGAACCTCCTCTAACTTCAGAAAGATTCTTGGCTGCTGCCCTCAGAGCCCAGGTCTGAAGGCAGCACAGAAGTGAGCGTGGCAATGCTGTGACCCCCCCACAACAACCTCTGAACTCCCCCACAATCCCATTTTGGTTGGGACCCCCACCAAAGAAAATGTCATTGAGATGGACGTGTTCCCAAGGAATGTGTCAATTTCAAGGAATCAACATTTCCCAGCTGAAAACAAATGTTCTCCTGGAAAACTTTCAATTTTTTTCAGAGTGGTGGCCATGTTAGTCTGTATCAGCAAAAACAATGAGGAGTCCTTGTGGCACCTTAGAGACTAACAAGTTTATTTGGTCATAAGCTTTCGTGGACTAGAACCCACTTCATCACATGCATGGAGTGAAAAATACAGTAGCAGGTATAAATACACAGCACATGAAAGGATGGGCATTGCCTTACCAAGTGGGAGGTCAGTCTAACAAGACAATTGAATTAAGAGTAGGATACCAAGGGAGGAAAAATCACTTTTGTTGTGGTAATGAGGGTGGCCCATTTCAAACAGTTGATAAGAAGGTGTGAGTAAGAGTAGGCGGAAATTAGTCTGGGGGAAGTTAGGACTTTTGGCTGCAGAATTTTATTTCATTTTTTAATGAGACTGTGTCTCTTAGGTTTTGTGGCACACAAGCAGAGAAGTTTGTAAGACATTGCAAACTTCCAGCAAGAACAATAACACACAAGAGCCCCAAAATCAGAGGGAGAGAATATAAGCTACTGTCTATAACAGAGAGGCACAATTCACTGGGTACCTGCTGACTGACTGCTGCTAAGCCCCCACTGAGCTGTCTAGCATACAAGTAGGTCCAGGAACCGTGCCCAAAATGTAAAGTCGCAGTATTCAATTTTAACACAACCACAAATACACCAGAGCCTCCAAATTTTCTGTTTTACAAGGTCTCTCTTTGTTTTGGAACACTGGTTTCTAAACATGCCATGGGGAATTTGAATCAAATTTCAGCTACTAATTAGTATGTGTTTGGAACAAGCACTGCTGTGCATTCGGTGTTATGTTGTTTGTTTCTTTAGTAAATCTGGGGAAACAGGAGCACTGGGAAAGCCTATTTCCCCCCCCACACACACACACTGCACATTTGCTGCCCTCTGGTGCTGCCTGAGCAGTAGCATTGTGACATCAGAGATAATCCACCACTCAGCGCTCCCTGCCTCCAGCTCCTTGTCACACCTGGGGAGAATGACTAGCCCCTGGCTGCCATGGCAACAGCTACCTGTGACAACTGCTTGTCCCCTTATGACCAGAACATCATCACAGAAAGGCAGTTTGTAATGAAACAGGACCAGATTTGGACAAGCAGGTCAGCCGCCTGCTGGGCTCATTTGGGTTTATACTGTGGTACGGTACAGTGTTTCTTCTCAAAGGGCCAGTGTGTGTTACTTTCCTTTGTAAGGGCTAGGTGAAAGTGATATGCAAAGATCCAGCTCTTTTTCTTGGATATTGTTTATCTGCTTCTTACAAATTGAGGATTGGAGCTTAGAACTTTCACTGAAACTCAAGTTGCATTAAGTGAGTTTTGTTTTAATATAGTTTAATTATTATTTTCAATACTGTGTTCAACACAGCACTGAGTGGTGAAAAGGGACCTTCACAAAGATAAGAATGGCAATAAAATATATACTGAAAACAACAGATGATTAAGAGGTTCATTGTTTAAACAGCACTTAGATAATAGTTTTTCTTTCTATTAAAAAAACTAAGGAAATTAACAAACCAAAACCCCTTCATTTAATGTTTCTTAGTTTAGCTTTCAATTATAAATTAAGCTGTCAAATAATTCGGATATACAAAGTCAAGGTTTTAAAACGGATTAAAAGGTTACAACCTTTAGCATTCTCAGGTTAGCAAATGTCCAAATAAGTGTTGCCCTGGCACCCTTAATTCAGTCATCTTGTGCCTTTGCGTGATGATGCAGATTTTAGTTACATCATCCCATGTTGTTTTTTTCCCGTCAGGACCCTGCCTTATTCAGTGCACAAGATTTTCTGCTCTGGGGCTGTGTATTGAAAGAGTCTGTTGTCTGTAGGATCCCTGCCTTATTTATTGCAGACTTAATGTTGCATGGGCAACGCTCATTCTGGTATTTCCTAACTTGAAAGTGCCTGACTTTGAAACCTTTTAATCCTTTGTAAAGAAAAGAACTTTCACATAAACAATTTGACAAATAAATTTTCTTACACACCTTTTTTTATACAGACAACACCTTTCCTCTTCATCCTTTGTGTATTTTCTATTTTTTAAGGCTTACAACACTGATGAGACCAACCTTTATGACAAAGGGTATTTTTTTGTTTGTGACATATCTATTATTTGTCTGTTTAGTGTCAATAGTGTGTACTTTACAAGACAGAAAAACTAAAGACACTCCCTAATACAAAGACCTCATGATCTAAGGAAGACGGACACATACAGAGAAACCAGCATGTGTAAGGACTGGGAATTTCTTTTTCTCTCTTTCTTTTGAAGTCATTTATACTTAATTATTATTATTTATTAGTAAAGAAAGGGTGGTGCATTGGGGAAGTTGTGTGGTGAGGATGTTCCATGCAGAGGGAACAATATGGAAAGACACGAAGAATGGAATGGGAGAAAGAAACACCCATGGTATTGGTGCTAGCTGTACTGGTAAAGCAGAAAGGGAGGGAGGTGATGTAGAAAAGGACAAGATTGCTGATTATGGCCTGTCTCTGTGAATAGTCCTGTACTGGGGTGGTTTGGCATTTTAAGGACTGGAGGCCTTAGCTCAGCCAACCCTAGCTGCTAAGAAGGCCCACCTGAACACAGATCAGCTGATTCTCTTACTGATCATCTGGGAGCAGAAGAGGAAGTGGCTGAGAGAATTGCAGGAGCTGCAGAGAAAGGAAGGAGCAGCAAGGAGGGCTAGAGACAGAGTCTGGCAATAACCTTGGAGGAAAGACCCCGAGAGCAGAGACTAAGGCCAGCAGCAAATTTGCCTTATGCTGTTCTTCTCCTTTTGGTTCGTTGTCTCTTGGAAAATAAATAAAACCCAGCTGGAAGGGCCAGTGAGACTGATCTGTTGTGAGTGCAGCTGTGGAGTCTGGAGGAGGGAGAGATGGATTACAGGGTGCTACAGATAGACTCAGGCCACCAGGGGATGCTTGGGAGGAGGTCATGAGCAGGGGAGGAGTGGGGTTTGGGAGGAGACTGCTCTACAACAGGGCCAAACGGGAACCCTGAATTTGTGCACCCACCTTCTTTCCTGATGTTTCAAGTTCTAAACTCCAACCTGGTCAGAAGGCGGTTGTTCAGAACCATTCATAAGTCACATTTAATTGGGTGCAAAGTTACACAGGCACAAGGTCATGCCCCCAGAGTTCAAATAAATTGGAAAACCAGCATTGTACGTTGCATGTAGCACCCTGGGCCGGCAAACAGGATGGAACATGGCAGGTACCATTGCTGGACCAGGCTTGCTGCATACCGGGGAACAAGTCATGCTCTCCGCCACACTGTTAGAGCCCCTTGGGAATCAATGATGAGAATGATGTCAAACCTACTCAGGACCAGCACAGTATAAACACATAATAATGCAAGGCTGGCCATACCTTGACCTTCCCCTGGATTGCTCCAACCTGCCTCATATGACAGGTGCTGGGTCAGGGAGCCAGGGGATGGGTTTTACATCAGCCACAGAGCCCATAGCTCCTCAGTGGCAGAAAACTTTGCAAAACTTTTAAAGATAATGCATCTATATGTGATTATCCCCTATCCCCAAGAGAAATATGGTATATTTTAATGAGTCTGCCCATGCTTGTCTTGATGATCAGAGCTAAAAAGTGCAACAGGGATTCTCTCTCAAAACGATGCTATGCCAAACATTAAAACATACTTCCATCCTATACTTTGAAATCATGAAAGACAACATCTCTCAGAAGGTAGGAGTGAACATTATTACCATTACAATAGAACTGAATTCTCCTTTTGTTTTTACATCAGGAAAAACTCTCTTCAAGTTACCTTGCCCAAGATAGAAATTTGCAGAAGTCAACTTGTTGATTATTGGAATCTGAAATGCAGCCATATTTTTCTTTCAGGATCAAATTATACTCTGGAAGGGGCACTGCTCTCTGGTGAGGACATCAGAAGATGTGAGAACAGAAAGGAGATTGTTCTGAGTCTTTCACATGACTTCTCTCTCGTAGTCCATACCTTGGGTGACTTTCTGAGTGGATTATTGACATGTTCTCTGTCATGAGAAACTCAGCCCAAGCACAGATATTGCCCAATGCAGCTATCCACTAAATTGAGGGGATATTACACCTAAGAAGAAATCCTGGGTCACTGAAACTAATGTGAATTTTGCCATAGACTTCAGTGAGGCCAAGATTAAATATGTGGGGAGTGATGGTTGAGCATTCTCACTGGGGACTCTTCTAAACCTGGACGTCATTTCCCTGGGTACGCAGGTCAGAACTCTGTGTTTTCAAGGCACAGTGTAAGGCTCAGCTCTTTCTCTGACTGCTGTGTGGAGGTTTGGTTGTGGTGAGCTGAGTCCAATGAAAATAAATCATTTCCGTGAATTGAATGGGCTTTCAGTGATATGGCCAGCTCAGTTGCTCTACTGAGCATTATGTAGAATGTGTTTACATTCGTCTTTTCCCTGATGTTTTTAACTCCATCTTTCCTTGAATTATATAAAGGGGAATTCGACAGCCTCTTTTGAGAGAACTTTTTGCTTGCAGATAGATAGATAGATCTGAGCTATATGAACAGACGGAAGAGCTCTTTTAGCATCAATCCTGCTCTTCCTTTAAAAGTGGGGGTTGGAAATAGTTACATTATAGCAAATTTCTATTAAGCTATCTGATCTCTGGTTCAGAGTCTCTCTTGAGAAGGAATTTGGTCTGCAGGGGCATTTGGCTTCACCGGTCTTTTTATGAAACACTGAATAAACACACAGTAATTGCCAGATTGGATCAGACCTGAACGCCATCTAGTGTCTTGTCTCTGATAGTGGCTAGTACCAGATGTTTCAAAAGAAGGTTTAATGACCTTTAATAGTGAGACGTGGAATAATCAGCCCTTCCCCGCATCTCGCCCTGAACTCTAATAGTTAGAGATTCATTTAAGCCCTAAAGCATCATGTTAGTATCCCTTAAGCATCTGGATCCATACACTATGCTATATAAAGCTGTCAAATCCCTCCAGTTTCTTTGTAGTTCTGCTTAACAGCACTCCTAGGATCTACAGACATTTCCCAACTTCTCAGCTCACCCATAATACAAGCTCAAACCAGCAAGGTACTGAACATGCTACCCGCAATCCAAAGAAACATATAAGCACATGCTTAACTTGAAGCAACTTTAAGAATGTAAGAAGCCCCATTGAAATCAACATGCTTAAAATTCTGGGTGCTCCACTACAGGAAAGATGGAGATAGATTGGAGACAGCTCAGAGGACAGCAACAAAAATGATGAAAGGTTTAGAAGTGGTAGGGGATGGTCTAGATGACCTCTTCAGGCCCTACGTTTCTATGATTGTATGAAAAGATAATGCAGCTGCCTAAATGTTCTGCTGGACTGAGGCAAGATCCACACAGGATTAAGGCTTAAATGACCTATTGTTCTTTGCTTGGACGCATTTGATGAAAGAAGTCAAGTCCTTCTTCCTTGGTACCTTCTGTAGAACTGCACATTAACCAAGCTGCTTTTGAAGTTAAATAATCATTTTATTTGTAATATTTGTCTGAATGCCGACTGACTGGCATGCTATTTGGCCACAACCAAAGAGTGGGTAAAGAAATAAATGACACATGTGTGTATGTACGGCATGTGTATGAATATGTACACACACACACACACGCACACACTTTTTCTTCGTCTTTGGCCACAGTAAACATACCACACATACATACCTGCTGATCACACTCGATGTTCTCTACCTTTTACATTGCCAGGGGTGTTATGAATGAGACCCACGACATTCTCATAATTTCACAAACTGGAATGTGTGACATGAGCTAAATACAATTAACGATTACATGATTTGGCAATCACTATTGTGACACGGGGTGAGGAAAGAGGTGCAGTGAGGATATTGACATAGGATGAAACAGGTTTACAGGCAGTTTGATCCCAACTCAATAATCATAATAGAATATTATTATTCTTATCTCTATAAAGACAGGTTAAAAGGTAAATCTATTCAGACAACATTTTTTTCTTATCATTATAAATATATGTTTCTGAAAATATGTTCACTGTGGTTAATTTTCTCACAAATATTCACGCCTGGCTACACACTTTTAGTCTGATCATTAGAAGTGTCTGTGTGGTAATTTTTCGGCAGCCAAAGAACAAGAAGCTGTAGGACTTAGTCAGCATGGCTGTAGTGTCCAGAAGGGATACATTTAGAAGTTTCATTTTTGAACTATTTCCTCAATAAATGTATGTGCATCCTGTGTACTGCCTGGTAGCCAATGATTTAAAAACATGAAGGCAAATTTCGGTGCTGGAAACTGTCACCCAATAACCAGACAGTGTGATGCAAACTGTGTCTTCCTCCTACCCATGTTATTGTTCCCAGGTATAATGGAGATCCACGGATCCTACCCCCCCCCCCTTCTCAGGCCCATTCAGAATGGAGTTGGGAAGACGGGGGCTGGGATCAAACAGGGCCAAAACACTCAATACGGGGAGGAGATAATGTGCAGCTGAGGGCCCAACATACGCAGGAGGAGAAACTGTTGGGCCCACCATCTGGGGGACACGCAGACCTTCACACGTAGGGGAAATGCAGGGAACAGGGTGTAAGGGTGTTGCCACCTTAGCTGAGTGAATCCAGACCCTAGAAGGATTTTCAAAAGTACCAAGGCACCTATAAGTCTGTCATTTCAATGAGTGTGAGCTGACCGGTTGATTCTGAAAAATCCATTTGATGCCTAAACACCTTTACAAATCTGGTTTTTCCTCTGAGTAAAGCTTGGATATTATGAAGAGTCTCAAGTAAATCTGGTAATTAACTTTCAAGTTGTAATTAGTTGGAAATGAGCCTTGAAAACATGCCCCCACCCACATACACACACTGCTTCTGAATGAGAAAGAGAAAGAAAAAGAGAAGGAGTCAGGACAGGGAAGGACCCTTTCCTCATTTACAATTTAATTGCCTTTGCTTCACTACCGTCTTGGGCCAGCTCTAAATTACACTTGCTTCTGTATAAACTATGTCCCCCAGGGGTGTGAAAAATCCACACCCCTGAGCAACATAGTTATACCAACTTCAATGCCCCACTTCCACATAGACATTGTTAGGTTGGCAGGAGAGCTTCTCCCGATGGCATAGCTACCGCCTCTCGCAGAGGTGGAGTTACTAAGCAGACAGGAGAGCTCTCTCCCGACAGCTTAAAGCATCTTCATCCGAAGCACTACAGCAGCGCAGGTGTTTGTAGTGTAACCCCAACCTGAATCAGTGCCAGGGGCTTCCCCTGATTTCTGCCAGCAATTGTGATTCCCAGAAATCATCTTGGAGAGACTAAAATAAAAAGTGAGAGAACAGTGTCAGTGGTGCCCACAGTCAAACAAGTCAGTGGCAGAACCAGGATTAGGACCAAGGAATTTGAACTTCTAGTTATCCATTGGCTAGCAACTAGACCCCACTCCCCTCCCAGAGCCAAAAATAGAACCCAGGAGTCATGACTCCCATTCTCCACGACTGTTCTAAATTCCCTCTCAAAGCTGGGAATAGGACCCACCAGGCCGAACTCCCGGCCAGCCTGCTCTAACCACTAGACCCCACTCCTTTCCCAGAGTCAGGAATACAACCAGGAGTTCTGACTCCTACTTCCTCCTGCTGTCGTCACTAGGTATTACTTCCCACCCAGAACTGGAAATAGAACCCACGAGCCCTGACTCCCAGTCAACACTGCTCTAACCACTAGACTCCATTCCCCAAGAGTCCCATCCCCTGCCCCTGTTCTAATCCATGAGACAAAGCGAGAAGTGTAAGCAATCTCAGTAGAAGAAGGCTGAGTGAATTCTGTGCAGTACATCACATCATCCTATCACTGTAAGTTTGCAGAAGAAAAGCTGCCACCTCCCTAATGAGAATCATCACCATCTAAATATGTAGTGAGCGACTTAAGGCACAATTAAAAGTGAATCTGTGAGCAAGCTGGTACTTTAAAAGCATAAGTGACCTGGGGATAGGCTGGGTGGAACGGGAATGACTTGACTGGATCTAGGTCTGGGTGAATCCTAAACATAAACATAAAACAAAAAACACACTGTTGTATTCCAGGTGAACATGAAAAAACCAAAAATAATGACATTCCAGGTAAAGTCCCAAAACAATCAAAATACAGTAACATGGTATTAGAAAGACATGGAGATTGAATATACCCTGCATTATACATACAGGACCTCGTAATAAACACATCAGGAAGTTTCAGATT